CAAAGGTCACAGCCGTTGGCACCTTGTATAGGGTTTTACAGCCAAATACGTGCACGCAAACACACACACACACACACCCACACACACACACACACTCACACACTCACACATATACATACATACACACTTTCTTTTCTTAATCTCCTTTTTATTTTTACCTTTCAAGATTTTTCTTTTGCTTTATTTTCCTCCACTGTTCTCTTTGGTGTGCACACACACACACACACACACACACACACTCACACACACCTGTAAGGTCTTATTTAATAGTTTGATGTGTTGTCAGTAGTGTGTCCAGGCCAGTGTTTTACAGTTCTGTTCCCATGGCTTTACCGTCACAGAAAAAAGACCCGTGGGCCAAATCCAGCGGCTGCCGCGGAAAATCACTCTGCCGCTTCCTCTGAGCTCGAGAAAACATGGAGCTCGAGAGGAGGTTAAAAGAAGCAGACCAGTGATTTTAAGTTTAGGGTATTGCGTCCCCTTCGCCTGTCCTCCTCTGTGTGCACTAGTTAAAGTGTTCGGGTTCATTTCTGCTGCGAGAAGAAAAAGGTTTTGATTGGTTGCTACCGACAGAAATGACAAATTCTAAAGCGAAACTCAAATTTTATGAAAAATGATATCATGGGAATGACCTGATCATCAACCAGCTGCAGGTTGACGTGTACAGTATGTGGTTTCATTGAACGTTCATTGTTTTCATTTCTGTTTAAACCTGTGGCAACATGCAGCGCTGGGTATTTGTTATCCTGTTTGGCGCTAACGCTGTGTTTCCCGTCGATCGTCTCACTGAGTGGGATTCCCCTGCAGGAAATAATCCTTCAGAAACACGCCACCCGACAAACTGTCGTGTCAAATACATGTTGTCTTTTTATATAACGTCTAAAATATCACTGCGGTGCTCTGGGCCAAATGACAGGAGGGAGGGAACAACGATGGAAACATGAGAAGGATGGATTCATAAAATAACTCCTGTTTGAGAAAACCTGCATCTTAGTTTTCGTCAGCGGCGAAGGATTCGTTATAAGTCTGTTCAAAACAATCAAATTCAGCCGGATCAGTCGCCAACGATGTGTTGTTATATTTTATTTATTATCTTGTTATCATTATTCATATTATTGACTTGATATTAATTCTTAAATGAGCTGCAGTTAGGTGCGGAGCTTCTTTTGGCTTCGTGCTGATATCAGACAGTCGGAGAATTCGAGCCGTGCTTCACTCCAGCTCACAGCAGTAAAGTGCCGTTTAAAGTCATAACGTGTCCGCTGATCACTGGAGGTCACACGTTTGATTCCTGTTCCCGGACGAGACCCTGAGCTCTTGAGGTAAAAAATGGAAAAGAATATATTGAATCTCTATGTTTCCAGCAGATGTGGTGGCTCTGGTTTCTTTGTATTTTATATCAAAACCCTGGAACCTCGCGTGCGATATAAAACTCTTAATGACGATGTCGCTGGCTTCATTTAAAAAAACTTATCTCGCTTTTGCTCTGGGCCCAAGTGCCGTATCTGTAACATCATTTTAATATTTTGGTTCTTACCGATACCGCAGATATTAACCCTATTAATTTCACAGATGTCGGCTGTTTCAGTTTCAAGGCGGAAAATCTTTAATCTCAAACCTTTGGAGCTCCGATCAAACGTCGCAGGTCTATCGCCGAGCTCTGGCGTTCGCTGTTAAACGATCGATAAAAATGTTATTAGGATCATTTGGGTCCATCTCTCCAACGCTGTGATCTCTCTTTCATGGAGAAAATGAAGAAATGTCTGAGGCTGCACAGTGGAAAGGCGGATGAGCTCAACTATGAGCTGTTTTCTTGGTGGTTTGTGATCACAGGGGAATTTATTTTCCTGTCACACTAAATCTTGTTTTTTGAAAGCGCACATTAAAACCCACTCGATTCCAACCAGAGCCGCCTTCGATGATCCGTGACCCTCGTGATTCTGTTTGTTAATCCCTGGAAAACAGCTGAGCATGTCTGCACCCGACGGAATTCACTCACAGTCTTTTTTCTGCACTTTGTATTTTTTCGATTGAAAGACAATTTTGTGTTTTTGTTATATCAAAATGCATTTTTTCCCGAAGCAGCAAAAACAATTGAGGCCAAGACGAATGTAGTCTTTTCCTTGGAAACGTCTCAGCAGATTTTGTTTCTGTCGAACTGAGTTGAATTTGGGGAGTTGAAATCAAAACCTATAAATTTGATGGGAGCGCCAGTAATTATTCTAATGTGGCTGCGTGTTCAGAGAGCAGGCAGATGTGGACTGTTCACTGA